TATCTGGACCATTTTGTTTCAGATGTAACTTTCAGGTAATAGGATAGAAAACCTCCTGATTTTTTTCTACTTACATGGGTGTATTGAGGTGAAAAAATGACTTTTCCTTATTACGAGCCAAGCTCCTGGGGCCTCCGGCTGCAGCAGTTGAAAACTACCTACTTTAATCAGTTTCTTGTACTCTTTTGCCTGCATATCCCCTCTGAGAGCATCTGGGAGTGAAACGAAGAGCCTTCAATAAGGTCTTGTGCTCTGGTATGAGGCTGTCGTGGCCTGTGGGTGGATTGGTTGTGAGCCCTGAAGTTAGGAGTTCTGTTCTACTGATAACTCTGGTCTAGTAGCTAGAAACATCAAATAAACCAAGGCCTAGCCACTGGCTCTAAGTGAGGATGTAACCTCCCTTGCATCCTTCCCTCTCGATTTCACCTAAAGTAGGCCTTTCAAATGCATAGAAATCTCTGCAAGACTCCTTGGCCCAGCATGAGTTTTGTGCATTTGTCTGAGGGTGGAGGGAGTATATGTGCATCTAGGCATATCTGCACTCCTGCTCTGCCCCATCACTATGGCCTCTGGCATTCAAGGAAGAATCATTAACAACCTGCAATGTGCTGACGTCACAACTTTACTTGCTGAAAGTGAGGATGACTTGAAGCACTTGCTGATGAAGATTGAAGAATGCGGTCTGCAGTATGGATTACAGATCAAGATAAAGAAAAACAAAAATCCTCACAACTGGACCTATAAGCAGCATCACGATAGATGAAGAAATGATTGAAGTTGTCAAAGACTTCACAGTGCTTGGTTCTACAGTCGATGCCAATGGAAGCAGCAGTCAAGACATCAGACGACGTATAGCACTGGGCAAATAGGCTGCGAAGGACAACTTTCAAATGCTGAGAAGCAAAGATGTCTCCTTGAGGACTGAGGTGTGCCTAGCTCAAGCCATGGTATTTTTGGTTGCCTCACACGCTTGTGAGAGCTGGACAATGAACAAGGAAGAATGAAGAAGAGTTGATGCTTTTGAACTGTGGTATTGTGAAGAATGCTGCTAAAGGAACTAACAGGTCTGTGCTGGAGGAAGTGTAGCCAGAATGCTCCTTGGAAGTGAGAATGACCAGACTTCGTCTCACCTATTTTGGTCATATTGTAAGAAGGGACCGTTCCCTGGAAAAGAATGTCATACTTGGTAAGGTGGAGGGTCGATGAAAGAGGGGAAGGCCCTCAATGAGATGGATTGATACAGTGGCTGTGGTGATGGGCTCAAGTATAGCAAGGATCATGGAGCTGGTGTGGGACCAGGCAGGGTTTCATTCTGCTGTGTGTAGGGTCGCTATGAGTCAGAGATGACTCGACGGTACCTAACAACAACAACACGACATTCAAAATGACCTCATGATTTAAAAAAAAAAAAAAGTCTAAAGATTAACTTGTTAGAACATGAATAAAGGATTGTCAGACATGCAGGCATAATGGGTCCATTGTCCCTTAAATACAGCTTCAGGTACAGAGACTTAAGTTGCCTTTGTTCTTTTATTTGTTGTTGTTGTTCTTTTTCACTTACAAAGGTGTACTGATACAGTTTTATAGGCAAACAACCTCTTTGGCCTTGCACAGGTCAAAGCACAGCCTCCAAGGTGAAGCATAAGCCCGTTACCTTGGCCTTGATGGTCCAGAGCTCCAGTTGTAGGGTTCATCCTGCTGTATGGTCTGTACGCAGCCTGATCCAAGAAGTTGCTCTTAGATGGAATGTGAAGGCTTCATGGCCCTGACAGGAGAGGTGAGATCTGTCAGGCAAAGAAGGTGAAGACTCACTACATCCTTTTCATGTCTGTCTTACAGAAAGGATCTGGAGAGGGATGTTAACAGAGATAATTGCAGACCTTAGAGACAGCAGCTCTGGTGGTGTAGTACCTAAGGCATTTGAGTGCTAACCAGAAGGCTGATGGTTCAAACCCACCATCCACTCCTCAGAAAGAAGATGGGG